AAAATTATAGAACATTATAAGCAGATGAAAAGATGAGCCTATTTAATACAGCATTTTTCAATGAAACAAAAAGGTTAACATTATTCTGAAAAATCTTGTAATGGGACGTAACGTTGTTTGGGATAAATTGTATTTCAATATATTATTTCATTATTAATACTTTTACATTTTATATGATTTTGTGTGGGTGTGTGTTTGGGAGAGCGGGTTGGCCCCAAATTAGTCTTTTGGCCACATACAATTAATATTTTGTATAGGTATGTAGGTAAATTTTGTTTTTTTTTTAAGGCTATATTATTAGTTTTAAAATAGTGATTTTTTCAAATTTAAGGTAATTAATTAAACAATCTAGAATTGTTTTTTTTTTAATTTGTACTGAGTAAGGATTTAATATGATTTTACAATAAAAACATCATTTTTAAAACACACCTAAACTTGTAAACGTGTACTACTTAATTAAGCAATAATGATGGTTACAGTAATAATGTATAGCCAATTTCATCACTTGTCAATAGATTATATCAACATTAGTAAATTGGATGATCTAGTGGGGTAATTTAAAATATCGATTTTAGAATAAACTGAAAGATATCAGTGTATATCTATTTTTAATAAAAAAATACTCAGAATGATGTGACCAATATTATTTTTTAATTTAAATAAAGTGGTTTTTAATATTTGTTTCTTTTACTGAGAAAATTATTTCTAGAACCAGATAAAAGACCAAAATAGAAACCATAATGTCAGAATCAAAAGAAGCCAGGAAATCAATGAAAAGTTGATAAGAAAACATATGGTTAGTAAAAGAAAACATAAAATACTATCACTTGGTTACATATGGAGACGCAGTTTCAATAACAATATGAAATAGTATATTACATTAAGAGTGTGGAAAGTGACATTTTTCACACGAGTGGGAAATATTGTCGCACGAGGCACAAGCCAAGTGCGACTATCACACGAGTATGGGAAATCACTTTTCACAGAAGTGATGTACAATATTTTTCCTACGACCACAAAATAATTTCATTAAAAAAATGTAAAACCAGGTTATTATTATAATAATTCAAATGTATTTAAAAAAATAATCAACAATAATCGTATTTATTCAATTTTCATATTTTCTAAACAAAAAAAAAAAAAAAAAATTAAAAAAACAAAAAAAAAATAAAAAAAAATTCTGGATCTAATTTACAACAATTTCAATAACTTAACAATTATATCGCTTTTAGTATTAATATGGACATTACATAGATCAAAATAGAAATGATATGTTTGACATTTTGTGACAGCTGCTGCGGAAATTAGCATATTTGTACACGTGTGGAAAGTAAATTCTTATTCATACGCGTGTGATATAGGTCACTTTCCATAGGACTATATAGTGTGATATGTGTCACTTTCCTAAGTGGTCATAAGAAAAATATTTTTCCTACCACCACAAAATAATTTTTTAAAAAAATGTTTAACTAGAAAATCTGTTTATAAAGATTCCATCAAAATGTGGCTGGTTTTAGATTTGTTTTTTTTTTATATGCCTTACTGAATATTTTTTAATGCGTTTTACAGAAGTTTTGTCAAAATTAAAAATATTGTGATTCCATTTACAATTTCATAGGAGGATAAAGATAAAATAACATTAGGTACAATTAGGTACAATTAGGTAAAAAATTAAAATACATTAATGCTTTTCATTAGTTTTTTTTTAAACAAATAAGTTAAACAACCGTGAACAGAACCTTTTTTAATTGTTTATGATTACCCACTGCTCTACTCACAATTTTTTTTTGAACATTAATTAAAATAGTACAAAATAAATGGCAAAAAGGATAATTGTAGGGGTTATATTATGATAAATAATATGTTTAAATAAATAAACAATAATAGTCATATTTTTTCAATTTACATATTTTTTAATAAAAAAAAAATAATTTATCGGGATTTAAACCACCGCGCACCGTCACGAAATGGTCGCGAAATGCTAAATTGAAAAAGTTAGGCACTATACGATCTGCGCTCTCACATATATATCATTTGACTTATCTTATTAAATATACAAAGTGGCCCAAAAGATTTGATATTTGCAATGTTGCCAGATTTGCCGTTTCTTTTATATTATTAGTCACTTTGATTTTTCAAATTCATCACCCTGTACAGTGTACATTCAGTCATTATTGGAATCTCCTATTCAATACGAGTTCAATCATATGTAACACTTATGATTTTATGTAGTCTGGAAGGTCTTAAATAAATAAAACAGAAGTCTGGCAACGCCTACATTTTTTAATACAAACTATTTTTAACTACATTAAAACGTAACAATTGAAAGATTACACCATTTTTAACATAATGGTTACTTTATCAAGTGTTCAAAATGTGCTCCATTTGTGAGTTGACAGTACCCTAATCGATGATAGAATGCATCTACCACATTTCTCCATGATTATTTTATTTATTTAAGACCTTCCAGACTATATAAAATCATATGTGTTACATATTGTTGAACTTGTATTGAATGGGAGATTCCAATAATGACTTAATATATAGGGTGATGAATTTGAAAAACCAAAGTGACTAATAATGTAAGAGAAACGGAAAATCTGGCAACATTGCAAATCTGGAATCTCCGTATCACAAAATAGATGTACCTCAAATTTTGTACAATTAGGACTAACAATTTACGCGATAATTGGCCGTTTCCAGACTTTTGGGCCACTCCGTATAATATATAAAGCGCTAAGTACCACGGCTATTAAATAATTTAATAGCCGTGGAATTTAGCGCTTTATATAGGTTGTTCGTTATGGCAACTAAAACATTTGACAAGTATAACATGAGAAACCAATTTTTTAGTACTTAACACATTATTTAATTCAAGCCTTCATGTATATGAACTCCTAGTTTTTTATTTTTGCTTTTTCCTAAAAAGCAAAAATACTTTTGGTAGTTACTGTAAAAATCTTATAATAATTTGTTAAAAGAAATATTTAAGATCTATATTTAAAAATAAATGTTAACAATTTGATCATCAAATCGATTTTAGTATTAAAACTGACATTATATTAATCAAAATAGAAATTAGACGTCTGACATATTTGACAGCTTATGCAGAAAGTGAATTTATATTCAAACACGGGTGGAAAGTAGATTTATCCACACGAGTGTGATATAGGGCACTTCCCATAAGACTAAATAGTGGTAAGTGGTAGTAGGAAAATAGATTGTCTACACAGTTTGACTAATATTAATGTGTTGTAATTGTTGGTATATTTAAAGAACATGCTTTTAAAAACTATTTAAAAGTTAGAAAACGGAAAACTAAATTCTCTTACGCTTTACAGTTTTATACATACCTACATTCGACCGACAACCACTACCCCAGAGAGCTCTAGTTAATTAATCAATTTGATATGGGAACATGGACCCTTAAAGGGCTTGGTTACAGGGTCTTAAAAGTCTCAAATCAATATCAAAGTTCGCATTACATCAAAAACACCTTTTGATATTTTTTCAAATTTGGTGACCAATATGCTCTTTAAGAAAGTAATATTTCATCATAAACTAACTTGAAAAATGTAACCTGTGGCGCGCTATCAAGGTTAGTGACAATTTTTCACCCTATTTTTTAAGCCACTAGAACATTTTTTTATTTTTCAATATTTTTTTTAATTCTCTGTTAATTTAAAGTTAGAAAAATAAGAACCTTTTATGAAGCTAAAAGACCTTTTTGATTTATGACAAATTTTTAATTTTGATTTAAAACTTTTAACACATCAATTAAGGAGAGCTCACTGTGGTAGTTGGTCGAATATACTAACACCCTGTATAAAACAGTCATTAATAAAGGACTAATGCTAACCGAAACCTTACTAAAAATATTTATGAATAGATCAACACTTTACTAAAGGCAATTATATCACTTAATATGCAAAAATATAGTAAGATAATATAAATTAATTAAATTTTAGAATTTAGAGTTTTAAAATGAATAATTAGAGTAGAATGAATATTTTTGTATTAAAGTTATGACCTAAAAAAAGGAGAAATATGTTTTTAAATATAGATAAGAGAGGTTTCCCATACAGCTAATTAGCCAGATGTGCACACCGAAAATTGCTAAAAGGGGAGGGGCTGTTACAAAAAATGATTATTGTAATAAACAATGTAATAGATTTAATTAAAAAAAGATATTGAAAAGAAACAGAAAGATTACTAACTAGAAGTTTAAAAATAAAGCAGTTCGCCTTGGTGATGTCTACTTATAATTTTATTTTTAAATTTGTGGTACTAACTTGCGTTGAAGGGTTTAAGCCATCAAAGTGGGTGCACCACTGGTTTAACCTTTGACCAGGAAATAAATCAATAACAAAGCTCTTAAATAGTCTATAATTTAAAATTCCAACATTATATATTTTTTTTTAGCATAAAAAATACAATTTTTTCCAAATTTTTGGAGATAAAATAATTTTTTAAAAAATGTTTATTTAAAATAATAATTTTTATTTATTAAATAAAAAAAATCTAAATTTTTTAAGATCCAAGTTTGCCCACACATTTATAATTAACAATATAAAAAATAATCTTTTCAAATTCTACACTTTTACAATTAAAATTTGTTTGATATTTTTTTGTTTAATTTTTTTAATTAATTAAAATAAAAAAGAATAAAATATATTGAAGGCATTAATATATTACAAATTTTAATGATGCATTATTATTATTCTAATATTTTTTTATTTTGTTTTTTATTGGGTTTCATTCTATATTTACTATATTTTTAAGGAAGCTAATCAAATAAAAAGAAAGATTTATATTTAAACATACCTACTTTTCATTTAGGTATTAAAATAGATAAAATAATAAATTTAGGATCTTATGTATTATAACACGCACTTTACAAGTGTGATATTATTAATTATTTCAGATCTTGCGTCATCTTAGATGAACAAAATTTCTTTAGCACCTTACTATAATCAAAATAAAATCAAAAATTTTCCTACCTGTTGTTTGGCCTCGCCACCACGTGGTTAAACCCGAAAACCATTACCAGCACAGCAAACACAGCTACCACCGACCTCATCTTTGTCCGTTCTTATTTTTTTTTCGAAAAGGATAAAACTCCAAAAACTGCTCGTTCGCGTCCTAAATATTCTCAAATTCTCCGCCAAGTGAAAATATGATATCGAAAAACTCTTGTCGTCACAGATAACAAATAACTGTTAACACTTTTCACACTAGTCGCTTTTTTGAATGATGAAATTGAGCGCGCTTTCTTCATTTTATACGGGGCGATATGGCGCAGCGCATACTCTGATTTTGGCCCACTGATATTCTGATATAGTTCGGACGCTTAGGGTGTATCAGCGCGACATATCGGAAAAACGAAATGAGAATGATTTGAAATTGGGTTTAGGAGTATTATAAAATTATTGGAGTCGTTTGTGTGTATGGGAATTATATTTTTGGTATTGCTTAACTCTTTTACAAAATATAAAACAAAAAAAAAACTAAACAGATTTTCAAAACTAAGGCTTATAACAGATTCTAGTCCAATAATCTTATACATTAGACCTTGCGTAATGAATAATCCAAGTTTTCGTCCTCGAGTGCCGAACGAAACATTGTCAAGAATCCAAAAAAGTTCAAGACTCCACGAAATTTTAACCCTGAAGGATTAGTGTTTTATTGTGATTCAATGAGCATAATGAATTTTTTTGTAAATGGGCTGAATCGGATTGGAGTAAAGCAGATCCACATCACAATAACTGAATTTAGAAAAAAAAAAAAAAATGAGAGATTCACAAAGTTCAAATATGAGTTGTGTGAAAAGCAGGTATCGGTTAGAGTACAACTGCCTAAAGACGTAGAAATGAGCTTCGAGGTAAAATATATGTTTACAAAAAAAAAAATCGCCTAATTTAATTTTCGATTCGTTTATCGTTTAATTGTTTGTTGCTAGATAACATGACCGATGCTTTATGATGAAATAAATAAGTAAAATCGATGATTTATTATTTTTTAAGAAAACTTTCAATATTTTTTACTAGCCCTATGGCCCTACGTTAACATGCTTATGAAAAAAACTATAAATATGTTTTTTTTTCGATTTATGGCCTAGGTGTATATAAACCTAATATGCCAGTCTCAGTTTGTGTTTGAATTCTTATTAATGTGTGTTCTGTGCAGGCTTTGTTACTGTTTCTCAACGCCACTTTAGAAATAGCACTGTTAATTAAAACCCAACAGTGAATGGTCGGGTGGGGAATCCTACCTATGCTTTAGAATTATTATTTAATTTGTTTTTATTAAATACAAATTCTTGCCACCGGTGGTCATGACTCTAACCACTGAGCCAACCCATCCACTGTAAACATGGTTACATTTTTTGTAAATCACTCATTAACTAAATAAACTAAAAGCAGAACGTAGTAACTGCAATTATTGAGCTATTATGCATTCCAACAAAATGTATTTTAAAACCAATTTTCAGCCATTGAATATAGTAAAAAAATAATTACATGCATTTTTACTTTAATACGTGAACTTATGTTTATTTTAAAATACATGGTTGATCAATCTATATCACTGATCCTATGAAATCCATTAGGTTCACAGGGTTGCTATATCAAAGCACACGGGCAACCAATTTGTTTTGAGCAAAATAAGAGTTAAGCAAAAGGAGAGTTGAGCAGAAGAAGGATCATATAAAAGGAGAAGGTAGAGGAGAACATTCAAAGGAAACCAGATAGACAGTCGGAGGCAGGAGAGCAGGAGGTAAGCAAGTTGGAACCAGCATTACAAGTAAAAAGAAAACTTAAGTTCAAAATTTCTATTAAATTTCATATATTGGTTTGTAATATTTTTGTTGAAAGCCATAACCATAAGGATAGGATATTGGAAGCTCTGGGATAGAACCACTACAATAAGAGTGGCCCAAAAGTCTGGAAACGGCCAATTATCTCATAAGATGCTAGTTCTAAATGTACAAAATTTGGGGTACACCTATTTTGGTATACGAAAATTCCAGATTTGATATTTGCAATGTTGCCAGATTTGCCGTTTCTCTTATATTATTAGTCACTTTTGTTTTTCAAATTCATCACCCTGTATATTCAGTCATTATTGGAGTCTTCTATTCAATACGAGTTCAACCATATGTAATACTTATGATTTAATGTCGTCTGGAAGGACTTAAATAAATAAAACAGAAGTCTGGCAACGCCTAATTATCTCAATAAATTTTTTAATACAAACTATTTTTAACTACATTAAAACGTAATAGTTGAAAGATTACAACATTTTTAACATAATGGTTACTTCATCAAATGTTCAAAATGTGCTCCATTTGTGAGTTGACAGTACCCTAATCGATGGTAGAATGCGTCTCCACTTTTCTCCATGATTGTCTAGAAATTAATCGAGATTCATCAATAATTCGTTGCCTTAGCTCTGCAAGACTTACTGGTTTAGTTTTGTAAACCGAATTTTTCAAAAATCCCCAATAAATAGAATCTTTAGGATTTAAATCAGGTGAACGTGGAGGTCATTCAATACTACCTCGTCTACCAATCCATCGTTCGGGAAATTTCTCATCTCACCAAAATGAGCTGGAGCTCCATCTTGCTGAAACCATATCTGATTAAAATTGGCTCCAAACAAGTTTCTCAGTGTAGGTACAATTTCATTTCATTCGTAACTATCTGACGTTAAATTTCCTTCGATAAAGAATGGCCCAATTAACTGAGTACCTACTATACCTGACCATACATTTAATTTTTGTAGTCTTTGAGTATGGTTTTCACGAATCCAGTGTGGATTGACGTCACTCCAGTGCCTTAAGGTGATTACAGCACCCCCTTATAATTTTCAGACAAGGATATCTCAAAAAGTAATTTTTTTAAAAAATTAAAATTTTGGCAAAATATATTAGGCAATAATATCTAAAATATGCATATATTTTAAAATTTTAATTCCTTTCAGTTTCCGAGAAAAAAAATCAAAGGGCTTTAAATTTTGAAATATCATAATGAAAATAAATGCATTTCTCAACAGCACTATTCTTAATATAATCTCCAAATTTAAGCTCTTAATCTCTTGTTAATGATTTTTTAAAATTCGCCGAAATTAGTGGCTAAAACGCCTCGTTAAGTGCTTCTTTCTAGTGTAACGCGTCTGTAACTATCGTTTCGTTACTCTGAGTCATCATTCGTTTCTTGCAACGATTTACACCAGTTTACACCAGTTTAAACCAGAAAATAGCACTTAACGAGGCGTTTTAGCCACTAATTTCGGCGAATTTTAAAAAATCATAAACAAGAGATTAAGAGCTTAAATTTGGGGATTGTATTAAGAATAGTGCTGTTGAGGAATGCATTTATTTTCATTATGATATTTCAAAATTTAAAGCCCTTTGATTTTTTTTCTCGGAAACTGTAAGGAATTAAAACTTTAAAAAATATGCATATTCTAGATATTATTGCCTTATTTATTTCGCCCAAATTTAAGTTTTCTAAAAAAAATACTTTTTGAGATATCTTTGTCCGAAAATTATAAGGGGGTGCTGTAATCACCTTAAATTATGTCGATTTACACTCCCACACAGTGTAAAGGTTGCTTCATCGGAAAACCATATTCTGTTAACGAAATTTTCATCATTTTCAATTTTATCCTTCATTACCTCAGTAAAGTCTAATCTACGATCAAAGTCATCTTTACTTAATTCTTGCAATAAGTGAATTTTGTATGGTTTAAATTTATTCTTATGTAATACACGTAAGACTGAAGAACGACTTACATCATGTACTTGTACAATCCTGCGTGAGGATGTATATGGATCTACAACAAAACTCTGCATTAAATCTAAAGATTTGTTGTTATTCATAACTCTTTTCGGTCTACCTGATCGGTATCTATCTTTTACTCCTCCAGATTCCTTAAAGCGCTTTACATTTTTTTGTTACCGTCGCCTTATGAATAGGAGAACGGTTTGGGAAAGTATCGTTAAACAAGTTGGCGACTTCACAATAAGATCTTTTTCTGTCGCCGAACCCTCCCATCATTAGAATAGTAATTCGTTCTTTTTCGTTAAGAGCTATTTTAGAGAAACAATTTACGTTGCAGAACTTTTCAAAACACATCAAACTACTATCAGTTTTAGTTAATAATGTAAATGGTGAACAAATGTCAAAATCACAGCATTCTAGATTTAAACATTTAAATTTCTTCTAATCAACATATTTTGCACTGTTTTATTTATTTAAGATCATCTAGACTAAATAAAATCATAAATATTACATATGGTTGAACTCGTATTGAATAGGAGATTCAGATAATGACTGAAGATATAGGGTGATAAATTTGAAAAACCAAAGTGACTAATAATATAAGAGAAATGGCAAATCTGGTAACTTTGCAAATATCAAATTTAGAATCTCTGTATCCCAAAATAGGTGTACTCCAAATTTTGTACAATTAGGACTAGCAATTTACGAGATAATTGGCCGTTTTCAGACTTTTGGGCCACTCCATATATGCTTATTGCAGGTTAAAATTACGAAAAATGCGAATATATAGCAGATACAGAAGTTGGAAAGACTTTGGGAGGTAGAGAGATGGTAAACATCAAACCCCGTAGGACGACTTCAGGAATTTCGCGGTGATGAATTATTACCGGCGGAATCGGGCAAACGTATCTATTTATGGGCTACAAATAATTATTTGAACAAGTAATATTATCCAAAATCATAATTCTATAAAACTTCAACAGATATTCACAATTTATTAAACTATTTACACGAAATTGTTAGTAGCCTTTATAAAATAATTTTCTACGCCAATGTTTCGCGTTCACTTCGGTTAGCTCCGCTTCAAAACAGTCAAATCCTGTGTATGAAGTGGGAGAACTGGCAAAAGCCTTTCAAACTTCTTTCCCTGCTTTAGAATCAGAGATAACCAGTTTAGAATATACAGACTGGTAATACAAACATGTTTTTGTCGAGTTTTCTAATGTGTCCGCTATGTGCCTATATATGGTACATAACGCTTCTTACTTGGAGCCCAATTACTAACAATAGTATGTGGGAATACCTTTTCTCATGATCCACAAAAGGGTTAATTTTATAAATTGATTTTCCGCGGGAAAACGTTACTAAAATCACTCATCCAAAGATCGCATACACGGCTAACATTATTAAAATCTTATCTTATCAAGAATGGAAATGTAGGTACTCAAGATAAAATAT